AAGAAAACTGCGCTACAATTCAGAAGAGCAGTGGAAGAGAGAGGTGCCCAAATTTTCTAGCGTCCGCCTTTTCACCTGGCCCATCAACCCAAACACCTGGCCTCGGCGAAAAAATTAGCAATTTGCGCACAATTTTTTTTTCGGGATTTTCCGCTAAGTCAGAGAAACCGCGAGGCGATATGGAGAGCTGTTGATGGGCAAAGAGCACTGGCAGGCTAGCAGAGATCCTTGAGGAAACTTGGGGAACTAGCAGAGACTTTTGAGGACAGTGGAACTACCGAATTACCCACGCCCACGAAAGTGCTTTTATCAACCACCGCGATTTTTGCCATGCGGGGGAACTCTGAAAAATTGCCCATTCCACGCGACGTGATGAATTTTTGCAGACAAAAATTTGCCACCCAGCCGCTCGGGGCGAGCGGGTGTGCGCATTTTAAATTTTTTGACAGCGTAGGGATAGGCTTAGGCTTAGGCTTGGGCTTAGGCTTAGGCTTAGGCTTCGCATAGGCTTAGGCTTGGCATAGGCTTAGGCTTGGCTTAGGGTTCCGAATACACTTGAAAACACTAACCTTCTTCACCCAACCGAACATCTCGAAGTCGTCGTTTGCCCGGGAGCAGCTTCACGACTAAAACCAAAAAATTGTGAGCCGGAAGTGATCAAATGAAATATGTTCTGTTTTGGCAGAAGACTGAAAAGGAAAGAAATCGAGAGCGTCGTCAGGCCGGGCTTATCTCCTATTTTGGTCGTCCCCCCGGGTTTTGGACACGCAGTTCTTGAGGTGCACATTTTCAGGAAGCGCTGAATCAGCCATTAATCACTCTATAGAATTTCGGACGAACTTTGGGAAGAGCACGGGCTTAAGCTGATTTTGATTGATTTTTAAGGTTGAGGCTTAGGCTTAGGCTTAGACATAAGCTTAGTCTTAAACTCAGGCTTAGGCTTAGGCTTAGGATTAGGCTTGGGCTTAGGATTAGGGATAAGACTAGGCCTGGACTTAAAAAAGTCGTCCCAAACCAAAAATTTTATCGCCTTGAGAAAACCCGAAAAGAGCTAAAACCAGATGTTCAATTTCAGGCGTGGAAATGGGAAAATTATGACTCTCGTAAAGCGATTTGCGACGGACCGGCACTTCCAAAAAAATTGGGATGATCCGGGGTTGAGAATGAAATGGAGACTGATGCCGGGCCTTTTATGAAGTGACTTTATAGCAAGAGAGTCGGAGAAAAAGAGAGAGCGCGAGAGAGAGAGAGCGAGAGAGAGAGAGAGCCAAAACCATAACATAAGCCAGCTTCGCGCCATAATATACCTATTTCGACCGGAAAATGAGAAATGGGTCACCTTGTCGGAATTCCTGAAATTCAGCGGCTGGTGATTAAATGATGATTAAATAATTGGGTCGGAACAACATTAATGTTTTCTTTTTGGATTTTTGAGGCCTGCGAATCCTGAGAATGAGCATGACAATTAGAATTTTGATGATATTTGGTCATGAACGCTGAGAAAACTGACAGTGAATCCGTCAGGAATTCTACCAGCCATAACAAAAAGCAAATTACCAAAATATTTTTGGAACGGCAACTACTTAGCATACCTTGAAAGTCGACGAAATTTTTCAAATTTGAGTTTTGTTATTGTTCTTGAATTTTTTGAATTTTCAATCTTTGCTGAGGTTTAGACTTGGCTTAGGATTGGCTTCGTCCGGGGCTTAAGCCTTTTATTTAGTGTTTGCAAATGCCGATTTGGACAATCATTTATCGTATTTCGCCCTTATCCCGATTTCTTGGCTAACTTGGGGCATTGCGACACTGGAATGCAGGGCGTTCCCTGGCTGACACGTGCGTAACCGCTGTCGCATACACATGACGTCTGCGGCGCGGTAGCGCAAGGCTGAAAGACGTGATTAGGATACCAGAATAGGCTTAAGCTTAGGCTTAGGCTTAGGCTTATGGCTAGGCATACGATAGGCTTAGGCTGCCGCCTAGGCTTAGGCATAAGCTTGGGCTTAGGCTTAGGCTTAGGCTTAGGCTTACCAACAACTGCGTCCGAGCCAAACACGAGTCGCAGCCAACGTTCTGCTTGTAAGTCGCGTTCGCGTCGCACTGGTTGGCGGCTGAAAATGGGTACATTTTAGCGGTTTTGGGATAGACAACGTACCCTTGGGGCACTGGGCCAATTTGACGCATTTCCCGGCCGGGTTCCGCCCGTATCCGCTAGCACATACGCAGGAGTATTGCGGAGCCGTGGCGCAGGCCTGAAAATTAAATAATCTCTGCTAGCCTGCCTTCCTCAACAATCTCCGCTAGCCTACCGTATTTTTCGCTCCGGGCTGTCGATTGGCGCAGCTGTCGCAGCCAGCATTCAGCTTGAACTCCTCCTCCATGGCGCAACCCGCAGCGAAGAGTTTTCGGGCTTCAAAGGAAGCAAAATGTAAGTGTTCACGGTATCACGACGTACTCCTCCTCGGGCACTGGCTCACAGGAACGCAAGGACCTGAAGAGCTGGCCTTCGCGTAGCCCGCATCGCAAACGCACGACATCATCGGCTTGGCCATGCAAGGCTGGAAGTTGCGGGGTTGGCTCAGGCTTAGGCTTGACGTAGGCTCACCAAATTCTGGGTTCGAGCCTCGCACGAGTCGCAATCGCCATTCATCTTGTACGTCGCGTTGGGCACGCAGGTCTGGTTACTGCTGCTCGTGGCTGTAGTTTGGGCATCTGCCGTAGCGGTGCTTTCTTACTTGTGGCCTGGGGGCATTTGGACACCACGACGCACTTTCCAGCGTCATTTCTACCGTATCCTTTCACGCATACGCACGACGTCTTTGGGGCTGTGGCGCAAGGCTGAAAACTGGGTTTCCTCAAGGGTCTCTGCTAGCCTGCCCTCTCCTCTTCCTCAACAATCTCTGCTAGGCTGCCCTCTCCTCTTCCTCAAGGGTCTCTGCTAGCCTGCCCCTTCCTCTTCCTCAACAATCTCTGCTAGGCTGCCCTCTCCTCTTCCTCAAGGGTCTCTGCTAGCCTACCCCCTCCTCTTCCTCAACAATCTCTGCTAGCCTGCCCCTTCCTCTTCCTCAACAATCTCTGCTAGCCTGCCCTCTCCTCTTCCTCAAGGGTCTCTGCTAGCCTACCCCCTCCTCTTCCTCAACAATCTCTGCTAGGGTGCCCCTTCCTCTTCCTCAACAATCTCTGCTAGCCAGCCCCCTCCTCTTCCTCAACAATCTCTGCTAGTCTGCCCCCTCCTCTTCCTCAACAATCTCTGCTAGCCTGCCCCTTCCTCTTCCTCAACAATCTCTGCTAGCCTGCCCTCTCCTCTTCCTCAACAGTCTCTGCTAGCATACCCTTACCCCTCCAAGTGGTTTCCCATCAACGAGGAACCGGTTTTCGCACGAGTCACATCCCACATTCTTGATATATTCCTCGTTGGCCGGACATTTCCCTAAAATCTTGAAATAACTTTTAGAAACAAACGGCTTTTGGAATGATTTACAATTCCGCAAAGTTCTTCGCTTGCCTACCCTTTGAATTACCCTTTGTTTGCGAATTTCCGGGGCACTGTGCCAGGGGGATGCAGAGCTGTGATGAGCTGTCCATGGCGTAGCCCGCATCGCAGACGCAGGCCATAACTGGCATGACCATGCACCGCGGACGGTCGGGCTTGCTCTGCAATGATCACTGTTAGCCTGCCATTTAAGAATTCCCAGATTTTTTTTGAGAACGTTTTTTTATGAAATGCTTACTATGCCATAACTATTTGATTATTACATTATTTTTGGCCGGAAACTATAACTTTTAGCATATTTTTTGGCGTTCTATCGAATCGGCTTAAAGGAATCTTGAAAATTTTGTGGAAATAATCTTCAAAAGCCCGGAAAAACAGAAAATAAACACTTTCGAAGACTTACCAAATCCGGGGCTCGCTCTTCGCACGTGTCGCAGCCCGCCTGCAACCGGTACGTCGCGTGGGCGACGCATGTCGTGTTCGCTGTAATCTCGGTGTCAGTCCGGGCGCTGCTTTATTTTTTGTCATTTTTCGATTTTCGACAAATTGACTTTCGTTCTGAGCGAAAAATCTTACCGATGGGGTCGGGGCATTGGACCAGCGGAACACACTTTCCGTCGTCATTCCTGCCGTAACCCCTGCGGCATACACACGATGTCTTCGGGGAGGTGGCGCAAGGCTGCAAGCTGAGTTTCTCCAAAAATCGCTGCTAGCCAGCCCTCTCCACTTCCTCAACAATCTCTGCTAGCCTGCCCCCTCCTCTTCCTCAACAATCTCTGCTAGCCTGCCCTCTCCTCTTCCTCAACAATCTCTGCTAGCCTGCCCTCTCCTCTTCCGCAACAATCTCTGCTAGTCTGCCCTCTCCTCTTCCTCAACAATCTCTGCTAGCCTGCCCTCTCCTCTTCCTCAACAATCTCTGCTAGCCTGCCCTCTCCCCTTCCTCAACAATCTCTGCTAGCCTGCCCTCTCCTCTTCCTCAACAATCTCTGCTAGCCTGCCCTCTCCGCTTCCTCAACAATCTCTGCTAGCCTGCCCTCTCCTCTTCCTCAACAATCTCTGCTAGCCTGCCCTCTCCTCTTCCTCAACAATCTCTGCTAGCCTGCCCTCTCCTCTTCCTCAACAATCTCTGCTAGCCTGCCCTCTCCTCTTCCTCAACAATCTCTGCTAGCCTGCCCTCCCCTCTTCCCTCAACAATCTCTGCTAGCCTGCCCTCTCCTCTTCCTCAACAATCTCTGCTAGCCTGCCCTCTCCTCTTCCTCAACAATCTCTGCTAGCCTGCCCTCTCCTCTTCCTCAACAATCTCTGCTAGCCTGCCCTCTCCTCTTCCTCAACAATCTCTGCTAGCCTGCCCTCTCCTCTTCCTCAACAATCTCTGCTAGCCTGCCCTCTCCTCTTCCTCAACAATCTCTGCTAGCCTGCCCTCTCCTCTTCCTCAACAATCTCTGCTAGCCTGCCCTCTCCTCTTCCTCAACAATCTCTGCTAGCCTGCCCTCTCCTCTTCCTCAACAATCTCTGCTAGCCTGCCCTCTCCTCTTCCTCAACAATCTCTGCTAGCCTGCCCTCTCCTCTTCCTCAACAATCTCTGCTAACCTGCCCTCTCCTCTTCCTCAACAATCTCTGCTAGCCTGCCCTCTCCTCTTCCTCAACAATAACCTTACTGCTACACTTACTGCAGGACGTTTCCCATCAACGAAGGCCCGGTTTTCGCACGAGTCGCAGCCCACATTCTGAATATATTCCTCGTTGGCAGGGCATTGCGCTGAAAATCTATTTTTTTGAAGGTTTCTATTTACAAGTACTCTCACAAGGAGATGGTCTCTGCTCGGAATCGAATTCGGATTTGAAAATTTGCACACTTATAGAGCTCGACGAGACAAACCGATTGGTGTAACTTTCAGCTGCTGATACAATAACCACGCCGAGTTATAAGCATTTTAAGTTTTTGCATACATTTTGCATTATTTCATTGGCCATAGCTTCGTAGGCCTTCCCCGCCTCCCCATCACCATGGTCTGGTGGCGTAGTGGTGTAGTAGGCATCCTCCGGGGAATCTAACGAGGGTTCGAACTCGATAAACGATTTTTATTTTTTTGCTTTTTCGTCCGAAGGTTTCTCTTTGCTTTCTGAAGACCTTGAATAGCTTTTTACGCATTATTTTAACTCCTCTGGTGCGAAATGGCTAAAAAACATATCTTTGAAAAAATTTAGATTTTTTTACCCGAAATGACTATGCCGGTCCCAAAATAAATTGAAAATTCAAAGCATATCAAAAATCGTGGAATAAGCGTAAATTTGGTAAATGGTGTGTTATCCGAAGAAAAACTTTCATCCGCGAAAATTTTTTGGAAATGGTAGCCATGGGTCGGACAAGGGCTCGATGCCCAGCAAGAAATTTTTTTGCGGTGAAGTTCGATGTTGTCGGCGCATCAGTGGAGTTAAAATAATGCGTAAAAAGCTATGCAAGGTCCTCAGAAAGCAAAGAGGAACCTTCGGACGAAAAAGCAAAAAAATGAAAACGAAAGCGGGTTCGAACCCTCGTTAGATTCCCCGGAGGATGCCTACTACACCACTAGGCCACCAGACCATGGTGATGGGGAGGCGGGGAAGGCCTATGAAGCTATGGCCGAAATCATGCAAAATGTATGCAAAAACTTAAAATGCTTATAACTCGGCGTGGTTATTGTATCAGCAGCTGAAAGTTACAACAATCGATTTGTCTCGTCGAGCTCTATAAGTGTGCAAATTTTCAAATCCGAATTCGATTCCGAGCAGAGACCATCTCCTTGTCAGCTGGCCGCCCTCTCACTTACCCTGATTCTTTGTATTTCCGGGGCACTGCGCAAGTGGGATGCATGGGCCGTTCGACTTTACTCGGGCGTAGCCCTCCGAGCAGATGCAGGAGAAGCGGGGCGCCGTGGCGCAACCCTAGAAAAATATCAAGGTCTGGATCGCCTAGGCTTAGGCTTAGGCTTAGGAGTTTAGGCTTAGGCTTAAGCTTAAGCTTAGGCTTAGGCTTAGGCTTAGGCTTAGGCTTAGGCTTAGGCTTAGGCTTAGGCTTAGGCTTAGGCTTAGGCTTAGGCTTAGGCTTAGGCTTAGGCTTAGGCTCAGACTTCGGCATCAAAGACACTAACCCCAGTCATCTGACCATTAGCCGGTGCCCGAAAGTCGCAAGAGTCGCACCCAATATTGTAGGCGTACACGGCATTGGCAGGGCACTAAAACCCCGGGTTCTTCAATGGGCCTAGAAAGATTGTTACCTTTGAGCTCTGGCCAAGTGCCAGCATGGCAAGGGCGGCCCCTAAAAATGGCTTTTATGGAAAACACTGCAAAATTTAGGCGCGCCTGGCGAATTTCGGGTTAGAGGCAGTTTACCCCCAACCAACCCCCGCCTACCGTATCTCGGCTCCCTGTTTATCTACAGGTTTGTAAAATATACCACAATGTTCGTCTTGCTCTGGCGAGTATTTTGGTATGCTTTATACACCTGTACATAGATGAACAGGGAGTCGAGGTACGGAAGGTGGGAGTCGGCTGGGAGGCGGGGGGGGAGGGGGCAAGCTTACCGAGAAAAATTTCGCGGAACATCTCGGCGCTGCGTAGGTTTTTTTGGCTTTTCCCGTATTTATGGCCTCAGATTGCCACGAACTAGATTTTGGTCTTTTCCAAACGTTCACATTCCCAGGCGCGGATCGTATGCAGATAGGCGTCTATCAAAAACCTATGAGAAAGGATCACCCAACAAAATCATTGTGCTCGCTTGTTAGGCTTAGGCTTAGGCATAGGCATAGGCTTAGTCTTAGGCTTAGGCCTCGGCGTTTTTGCTTGTGCAATTTGTTAAGAGTGAAAACACTTTAGTGAAAACTCCCCCACCTAGAAACGCAGAGCGTAGCATCGCGGAATCTCCTTTTCGGATGGGAAACCATTGTTTTTGTGCTGTCCCTCATTTATACCCGCGTTTTATGAGGTTGCGCGTGAAAATTTATGTTGCGACCCGGTGGGTTGGTTTTCCCAGCAGTTATGGTCAAAGCTTTGGCGATTCCAGCGTGGGAAGGGCGTTCCGGTCTTTGGCCGTCTGTCCTTCAGGGCAGGCTTGCAGTGATTGTTGAGGAAGAGGAGGGGGCAGGCTAGCAGAGAGTCTTTGAGTCTATGTTTTCGAACACATACACGCTTAAGGTAATAAAATTAAACGATTTATTCGCAGGCAATCGATTATTGCAGGGTCTTCGGCTGAAAAAAAGCTTTTGAAAGCGAGTGCTTAAGGTTTAGTTTTTTCAAAAATAATTTTTCAAAGCTGTTCACTTGCCTTAACTGGGGCAGATCCGGAGAGTCCGGAGACTACCGGAGGCGGGTCGCTACCGGCTTGATACAGCGATGGTGGGCATTTGTCGACCGGAACGCACGTTTTGTTGCCGGGGCCCACCGGCGAGCCGAACCCGGGCTGGCAGTGGCAGCTCATTTGAGGAGCGGTAGCGCATACCTGAATTCCGGTTCGCTTGGGCTTAGGCTTAGGCTTAGGCTTATAATCCAGCTCAGGCTTAGGCATAGGCCTAAGCCTAAGCTCAAGCTCATCTAACCAAGCACCCACCCAGGACGGCTCGTTCTTCTTCTTAAGCGCATCGCACGAGTCACAGCCCGAGTTCAGCTCCCATTTCGAGTTCTCGGGGCAACCCTGAAAAAAGTTTAAAGGCGCCAGGACAGTGGTTCAAGAAATTCTAGATTTTTTAAGGACAAATTACGACATGAAAATTCTGGGCTTGCGGTGATCCAAATAACATCACAAAATTTACCTCCGGCGGCGGTCCAGCGCTTGGCAAAGGCGACCCATCTGGAGGAGCAGCGCTGCCGGGCACCTGAAAAATGGATACAACAGCGTTTCCGCTTTGCAACGCCGTACCGTAGACGCCGCGGGTGTTCCGTTAACAGGAGCGCCGGAAGGAGCGGGGCTTCCGTCCGCGGGGACGCCGGAGGGTGCAACGCTTCCGGCAGGCGGTGCGCCGCTACTAGCTGGTGGCGCGGCGCTGCTGGCTGGCGGGGCTTCGCTCGCGCCGACCACTCCGCACGTCACCGCAGTTGCCAGCGTTAGTCCTGAAAGTGGATGGCTTAGGCTTAGGCTTCGGGTTAGGATTAGGCTTGGGATTAGGCTTGGTCTTGGCTTAAGCTTAGGCTAGGCTTTGCTTCGCTCAGGCATAGGCTTAAAGAGATGAGGACGGCATCTGTTGAACCCCCCTTGGGGAGGGGGGGTTCAACAGGTCCCGCGGCGATCTCGCGCGAGAGAGGGCTCCCAGGGGAGAGGCGCAGAGACATTTTCTTTCCCTCGCGTAATCGATTGACTTATGCCGCCCCTATCTCTTTAAGGTTTGGCTTAGAGTTAGGCTTGGGCTTCAGGTTAGGCTTAGGCTTAGGCTTCGGGCTAGGTTAGGCTTAGGATTGGGCCTATGGTTAAGCTTGGGCCTGGGCGTAGGATTAGGCTTATGGTTAAGCTCGGGCTTGGGCTTATGCTTAGGCATAGGCTTAGACTTACAAGACTTGTTAGACTGAAACTCTAACTCAACTTGTTAGACTTAGACTTAGGCCTAGGAAGAGCTTCGAACCCCCATTAAAACCACAGAGCTCAGACCCACCTATGATCAACCGTAGTGCAGTAGCCATTTTTCGGGCGCCGTCACAGTATACGACCGGAAATCCCGGTCATGCCTCTTTATAAGCCGTGCCCCAATTCGAAATTCGGCGACGCGTTCCCCTCGGAATTTTTCCGGAAAAGCATTTGTATTCAGGGTACCGGGCGGGATGCGCTTTCCCCGTTTACGAAACTGTACGGAGAGACGTCTACGAATCATAAGGGATATTGAAGGCACTGATAAGGCAGTGAGGAGAAAAGAGGCAGGATTAATTGGCTTCGTGGGAACGAAAAAACACGAAAACACAACCTCGTCCGCAAACGATCTCTGCTAGCACGCCCATCGCAAAAATGTACAGATACAACGTAAATAAACATGTATATTTATCAAAAAAATACAATAAATAACTCTATAGTATGATTAACTTTATCTGCATGATGTTCATAACCGTCCCGCGGCTGCGCGCATCTTTTTCTGTGCCTCCTCTTTGCATAGCTCGACGTATTCGTGCTGGGATTTTTCGATGGCGGCGAGGTACGAGTCGTGCTCCTGCAATTGGTAGGCTAGCAGAGACCATTTAGGAATCCTAGGGAGCACGTCAGCCAGCAGAGACTGCCTGCCACTTGCTGACCTGCTTAAAAGTGGGTTGCGCCAATTTTCGTATCCGTTCCGCCAGCTGGTCGATGCTCTGATTCGTCTTTTGCAGTCGTCCGTCCTCGAACAGTCCCTCAACGTTCGTATCGGACGCTTCCACTAGCTAAAAAGGTTGAGACACGTCACGGAAAAAGTAAGTTTTGAAAGCCAAAAAACTACCGAATGCGAGGCCCGGATGATGCCGTCAAACTCGCGGTGCCGATCGTTGCGTTCGAAATGCTCGACGAAGGCATCGATGTGCCTGAAAAAAATTGGTTAGCTTAGGCTGGCGCTTTGCTTAGGCTTAGGCTTGACTTAGGCTTGGGTTAGACTTGACCTTAGGCTTATGCTTATTCTTTATTTTATTTTCCATCAAAAATTACCTTCTGACAACCGGTGTATGGTCGAAGAGCTGCTCGCCGACTAGGACGACATCGCCAACCACGGACGAGGCCGTCATACTATGCCAAAATATTACTAAAACCTGGAACGCTATATATGCAATTTAACGTTTAGTAAAGCTAGCATCGAAAGAATATAATAGTTTCAACGAATTGTTTACGTTTAAAATGCCGGCTAGCGAATCTTGCAAACCAATTAGCCTAGTTTATATATTAATAACTTTTATGGTGACTAAGTCAATCCGAAAATACATAAAAATTTAACAAGTAACTGATACAGTTCCCTATCCGTTTTCCAATTCTTGGCCCGCTACAGGGCGCTCCAGTGGGCGGGAAAAGCCGCGGCAATTCGAAGACCGGTTGACTGGTTCCATGTTCATGGTTAAAAATATTTTTATTTAAAATAATTTGTATTTAGCAGGTTTTTATGAAATCATCAACGTTTTTAAATGTAAAACTTAAAAATACTATAGCTATATTTCCGTCAAGATACGACACGACTTTTAGATATTTTTTGTAGCTTTTCCTGACGTTTTGGACAGTTTTTGTCAGTATTATGATCAACAATCATGCGTAGATTCGTTTATTCCTTATTTTTATCAGGTAAGTAAACGCTTAGGCAACCTCGTAAATGTGAGAAACAATCGATAGCGACGGTGAATTAAAAAGGAGAAAGAAGAATTGTCATTTTCCCGACAAATGAAGTTCGTGGGCTTTGTTGAGCAGAAAAAACAACGTTAAAAATTGTCGAATAAATTAAGAAAACTTCAAATAAATTATTTTTGTTTGCTATTCCTTCTTTGGGCGACGGCGCACGGACGTCTCGGCTTTGTGCGTGGTTTTTTGAGCGGCGGCCGGTGTCTAAAATCAATTTTTTTTTTAGCTTTCCCCCGATGTTGCAAAAGCTCCTGTTTAAATGGTATATATTGATTTTGGTAATTTTGTAAACGGATCTGAAGTGGGACAGCTAAAAACTGTTTTAAAAATTCGAAGATTTGGTGATTTGGGGTCGAAAATGCGTTTTAGAACCAAACTATCCGTTTTTAACGGAACATTGTAAAGTTTTGGGCCTATAAATCGTGAAAAGAAAGTACAAATACAGTAGCAATTTCTGAAGCCAACAATCTAAGCCAGCGTGGAAAAAAATCGGTTTTTGCCCGGGGAATCGTAAAAGCAAAGAAAAAGCAGGGTAAGCATGCGCTTTCAAACTTGCCCTCGGGCGCAGCGACTTCGTGGTCACGGTCATCGAGACGGCCGACGATTCATCGGAAGACGAAGTAGCCGAAGTTTCAGTATTTCGCGGGGTCATCGGACGCGGGTTCCGCTGCACGAACTACAACAAAGCTGTGGGGGTGTTGGCGAAGCGATGGTGCAGAAGTGCATTTAAACACCCAAAAACTAACAATTTCCCCAACAACACCTGCTAGCCTGCCCTCACTCACCTTTTTTCTCCGGCTCCCCTTCGCCAGCCTTCTTTTGCGCTTTCTCGGCGACCGGACGCTTCCGGAGCACTTTTTGGGGGACCTGAAATTCCGAGGTTTTGTGAGATTCTCAAGAAACTTACATCCGGCAGCTCTCCGGACCTGGCGAGCATTTGGTAGAAAATTGTGCCGAACAGGATGCAGCAACCCCTGAAAATTTGGATGGGGGTAGGCTTAGGGTTCGGCTTCGGCTTAGGCTTGGGCTTAGACTTGGCTTAGGCATGGCTTAGGCTTAGGGTTCAGCTTAGGCTTAGGTTTAGGCTTGGCTTAGGCTTGGCTTGGCTTGGGCTTGGGGTTAGGCTTAAAGGGCTGCCGACGGCATGTGTCGATCCCCCCTCATCAACAAATTGGCAAGTAGCCAACAGGGGAGAGAGCGCGCCCAGGGGAGAGGCGCAGAGACATTTTCTTTTCCGCGCGTAATCGATTGACTATGCCGTCGGCATCCCTTTAAGTTTAGAACTCACCAAACAATCGCAATGTACTCGGCTCTATTTTCGAATTCGGTCCCGCACACTGCATACCATTCCAGCGGCTCGCCACGTTGCTAAATGATGTAAATTAAATAAATACGCAGTGTTTTCTCAGTGGTTTTAAAGGGGCTGAGAAGCCAAAAACTGTAGCAAAATTCAGCTACAAAAAAATTATACCTGTTCCGGGGCTTTCCCGCCATTTGGCAGGCAATGGAAGTCAAAGTACTTCTCGTCGTAGTTTGTGGCGCATAGGTATTTATTTTTGTAGAGGACTTTCTAAAATTTTATAGATAGTTATAGACTCAATAGAAATAACTAAAGCTTATGAAAGCCAGAAAACTTACCCCGGTTGGCGTCTGGACTTTCTGCTTATCTTTGCAGGGTCCGATGGCCTGGTGAAGACTGAAAAAGCGCTTAGGCTTATGCTTGGCTTGGGCTTAGGCTTAGGCCTAGACTTAGGCAAGGCTTAGGCTTAGGCCTAGACTTAGGCTTTGACTTTTCGTCCTTCACTCACCCGTCCTGGACGATATTCACTGGATCGCACACGACCACCAACACCATGAAGAAGATGTACTCGATGCTGATGGCCAGCGGCACCTCGTCGAACCACCAGCGGTCGCCTGGAATTCCGCAAATGGTCTCTGCTAGCTAGCGTTTTGGCTGCTTTCCATAAATGGCCTCTGCTAGCCTACCGGCTCTCGATTCCGGTTTTTCCACTGGACGTCGGCGATCCGCACAAATGACAATGAGGGCGTAGGTGCTGAGGAAGAGGATGGTCGTGATTTCGGAGTGAACCTGAAAAGTGGGTTAAAGAATCTATGCCAGCCCGCCTAGGCTTAGGCGTAGGCTTAGGCCTAAGCTTAGGCCCATCTCTGCCAGACTGACCTTGTAGAAGTCGTGCAGCGTGTGGTATATGGGCACAAACTGCAGCGTGCCCAGCCAGAAGGCGGAAACTCCCGCCAGGAACGAGCACAAGAATTCACGATGGATCCTGAAAATGTTGTAAAGCTGAATCCCAATGTTGGAAGACGACCCTTGCTGGCACCATCCCTTTAAAATTCCAAAACTCACTTTCGCCAGTCGTATTCGACGTCCACGATATAGCGCCGGGTTAGGTGCAGCAGCCAGACGAGACTGCAGGCGAATGAGGCGTGGAAGTAGAACGAGTTCCAGGGAACCCAGTAGAATCTGAATAATTGTGTAAATGGTCTCTGCTAGCATGCCCTCTCTTCTTCTTCAATAATCTCTGCTAGCCTGCCTTGCCCAGTTTTTCCGCAACCCACCGATCGTAAATGTTCGGATCCGTGTCGTGCCACGTCCACCACAGGTTTTTTATACCCAGAATGTCGTATGGTAGGTCGAGCATCACTGCACCGAGACCCACAGCGGGTCCTTCGGCCCACCACGGGAGGTGGAGCCTGAAAAATGTGAATTCTTGGGTTTAGGCTTAGGCTCAGGTCAGGCTTAGGATTAGGCCTAGGCATGGGCTTGGGCTCAGGCTTGGGTTTAGGCACAAAAACTACCGTACTTTTGGACAGCAACGTAGGCGCAGTAGTCGAAGGTGTGGTAGATGCCGAAGAGGATGTAGAGAGGGGCACGAGCACCGAAAAACGTCAAAACGCCCTAAAATTGAGATTATCTCGTCAAAAACCTCTGCTAGACTGCCCTCTATTTTTCCTCACAAATCTCTGCTACTTTTCCCACCTGAGCCTGCCAGAAATTGTCCATATCCGGAATGTTGTAGCACAAGTTTTCGACGTTGAAAGCGTGAATGGTGATGGCAATCCAGACGTAAAGGTAGCGCCGTTCGCGGTTACGGTATGCTAAAGGAAAAGTTAAAGAAAGAGAGAGCGAGAGAGAGAGAGAGGGGGGGAGAGCGAGAGAGACGCACCGTGAATAAACGTGAGCAGACAGCAGCTGACGAACATTATCTCTCCAAGTAAAAACGAGAGATGGTTCTCGATGAGCTGCGAGATTGGCTGGTACTTGCAGAGCCAGTCCATCCACTGAAACGAAGAGAATAAGTCCCAAAATTTCCTCAACAATCTCTGCTAGCTCGCCTCCTTGCAAAACGCACGCCAATAAAGTTAACAAATTTGATGTTCCACTCCTTTTTCGTAGCATCGTCGAGCTCGAGCGGCACGTACGGCCACACGTACTCGTCCAGCACGAAGGCGTCCATTTTTCCGGGGACGCACGCCCGAGTTTTTACCTGAAAATCGTGATAAATGATTTTTTTTTGATAAAAAGGAGCATTTTGGAACTGTAAAAACCAATTTTAAAAAATGGTCACAACACAGCTAGAAGGCCTAGAAACATGAGAAAAGCGAGAGTTCAGCGCAAGCCACGCAAAAAGTGATAACAGCGCCTTCCGCCCGGTTATCTGTTTTTTTTTTTACTTTCGTATAATCTATATCCCGCCAAAATGGCTTGAAGAGCGCTAGAATCGATGCGTCATGCAGAGCCTATAATCCACTACATTAATGAAAGCTATGAATATCGTTAGGGTCCGAAAATCCCGACTTTTTACCTTCAAATCCCATTTTTAAATATAAATCGATGTAACGTTTCTAAAGCGCTTCTTACTATGCCTAAGCGTCAATATACGCAACTTTTAATCGATACACAGAAAGAAAAAGATTTTTCGACCAACGATTCCGATTTTCGCAAGAAATTCAAATTTTTTTAAAGTTTTTCTAAACTTGCAAAATCGTTTTCGAATTGCAATACGGCTAAAATGCTAAAATAATGTTTAAGGAACGTAAAATTACGTTACTAGTCACTTTTAGACCTATACAAAAGACTGTCGAAGCACCAAAAAAATTAGCAACACATCTAAAATACCTCTATTAAGTTATAAGGTATATCAAAACTCTCGGAAGAATCGTTACCCATGGGCGTAAATGGCAAAGAAACCCCAAAAAAGTTCCAATACCGGCGTTCCGCCGTGGCGCGGGGGCCAGCCGGTTGGTATTGGTGTGTGTGGCGCGCCGAGGGGTCAGCCGGCCTGTTTGCCATATCGGACCCGGTGTGTGTACCTTTAGGGGTAAGGGGGTACCAGAGATACGCGAGAGAGAGAGAGAGAGAGAGAGAGAGAGAGATCGGCAGGAGTAAGATGAGTAAGCATACCCCGAGGGCCCGGAACGTGCAAGCCGCCCACCATCGATTTTCAATGTTCCTGATCAGGGCGCTTCCCTCTCTAGTCGAGTAGATTTTAGGCGCTTTTAGAGTTTTTCGACATGACACTCTCTGGTGCTCATTAGATGGAGCTTGCAATTTTGAACAAGTTCCGGTTCTTTTGCAGTATCAGGGGTGGACCAACTTTCCAATCTCAAAATTTGGAGATCGTAGCGTTGCAAATCAGAAAAGTGTAAATGTTTATAATGGGAACACGGCAAGTAAGTGAACGGAGCGATCAATAAACTTTAAACGTGTAATCGAAAAGATCGAGCAACCCGGAAAGAACAGACAACACAGGCAAATTTTTAATCAGAGTGAATGCGAGTAAGTTAAGGCCAACCGGGGCCGCACCCGCCAAAACTCGATGCAAATGTTCACTTTGGCTTGACCATGCCGTCCGGGAAGAAGAGACGTTTCAGTTGGTAGCGGATCTGGTCCCCGGCCTTCTCGATGGCTTCTTTGTATGCATCCTAAAATCAAGGACGTTATAAAGTAAGAACCATTCAGGGCTTCTTTGCGATAACCAGCTCACTTTCCCTAATTAAAACGCATTAAAAACGAGACCTTTCCCATCTTTAAAAACCCACAAAGTTCCGATTTTTTAGCTAGCTTCTAAACTGTCTAAATATCTGGGTCCCCAACGACCAATCGTCGGGTTTGGGTCCCGGCTATCTTCCCACATAAACATTTTGAGCAGAGTTACTCACCGAATTGCCCGAGAAATTATAAGCTCGCTGCTCAATCGCGCTCAACTGGTCCCAAACGTATTTTCTGCAAAAAACAGTAGATACCCAAAACTGGAATTACCTCAATTCGAGCGTCGCCATATACTGATGTCCGACCCAGATCTTCTTGTGCGTCACGGCGATCTGGTTCATCCGGGTGTCCCGGCCGAAGCGTTTGTGCCATTCCTAAAAATGTATAAAATTAATACGGAGGAATCCGTTCGAACCTTGACACAATGCTTCATCAACGGCTTTGGCTGATAGAGGATTGGCGGGGAAGTCAGCTGCGAGTCGGGCTTCAGCGCCGCCCGCACGGCCTTGTTCTTCTTCAGCAGCTGCAGGATCGACTCCTTGTGTTGAATGTAGCTCTGCTGCTCGCCGGCACTGGCTTCGAAGATTTGTTGTTCGATCGCATCCCGAATTCCGACAGAGCCACCGCAATGTTGATCGAGCAGCTCGCGAGTGGAGGCGCGTTCGGCCTAGAAAAGTGATAGGATTCACATACATATCCTCGAAAAGTAGTTTTTCAAAATTTCGAATCTCGACAATCAAAATGCATTTTTGGCAATCCCTAATTTTTAAAAACTTGCATCCAAATAGCCGTAGTAAACGGCCGCAGATCGTTAAAAAAATTTTAAAAAGTTTTTTTGAAAAAATCTGGAAAAAATCTTCGCATTAAATTTTTAGAAATGATTACTTCTATGGTCCATTCCTGAACGGGCTCGTCTGGAATGACATCGCCATGAGAATCGATGGGCTCCGGACTGGGCGGCGCCCTGTTATTGGTCTTAGCCGACGATGGAGCAGGTGTAGTGACGGGAGTGTTCTAAAAAGCCGATGCTCGCAAAAAAACGCAAACATACCGTTTTGCCCCTTTTCTTGGGTGGCGGGCTCACTTGTTCATCACTGTCAGAAATCCAGGCCCGGCGATGTCGCGGGCTTTGCCGAAGCCTCGGGGATGTGCTCAGTTTTCTCGCACGCATTCTCGTCTCCATCATTTGCTTCTCAACCGCGGCCGACGCCTTCGACGTGCATGGCTGGTCGAGAGTAAACGGCCTTCCGGATCGAGTGGCCCTAGCATCGACCGAAGAGCGGCTGGAAACTGGTGAGCCAGGCGACAATTGCACAGAAATCGGGGCACGAAGCCGTTTCAATTCGAACACGCGAGACGAGTGAGTTGCGCCTGAAAAGAAAAGTGATGTGACAGGTTGAAAATGTCGAGAAAATCTTTGCAAATCTGACCAAACAATTGAGGTTACGCTAGATTCTAGCCCGCGCAAAATAGCACCAAAACCGAAAAATCAGTAAATCTCCCTGATCAGAATCACGTTTTGCAAACCGGCATTTTATCTCTATATTGAAAAGGTATCAATAGCCGGGCTCAAACCTTGTTTCTTGATTTCTTCCCTATGGGCCGCGATGGCAGTGCGAGCCGGCGAAGAATGCACGTCGAGGGTGGCCAACTTCTCGTCGAGCTCGACTAAATCAGGAAATTGAACGCCAATAAATAAGTAACAAACCAGTCAAATTGAATGAAGTATCTCTTGCTTCACCTTCCTCGTTGGCTGCACGTCGAGTAGCATTAGGAGCTACCCGCTAAACACGGTCGTTTCAAACAAGCGTGTAGCTTACGATGCTTTTGCGACGTCCCCGGCCTCCAGCATCAGCCCTGGGCGTTCCCGACCCACCGGATTCCTCGTCTAAATACCATCATTACTTTGTCGAAAAGATAATACCGTTAAAGGTATAGCTCCGAATTGTAAAATCACGGCTTCGCAGGTCGATCTTGCACTTGAATTTTTCCTCTAGCCTAAATGTGGAATTTTTTTCGTTCTGTCGCATTATGGGGGCCCCAATTTTGTTTTGCATCTGTCTAGAAATGTTTAGTAACTTAATAGCAAGCATTTTTCTCGTTTTTAAGATGATAAAACTGAATTTCAACCATAAAAATATCAAAAAGTCGACATTTTGGTCAAAAAATCTATTTTTTTTTTATTAATTTGTAAAGTTTTTACTGTTAGGAGAATAGTAAAAAAAGTTTAAAAAAAATTCCGCTGTTTATGAAAGATTAAACCCTACGAAAAAAAAGTTGGTCTACGGATAATTCGAAAGAACCTTTTCGAAAAAACCCAAAAACCTAACAATAAAACCCACATCGGCTGAACATCGAAGGGATCGATCGGGAGCGCAAGCTTCTTGTACAACAACAGCATGTCCTCGGCCGACAGGGGGTATGTGTAGAGGTTAGCTACGATCCGTCGATACCTAAAAAAAGAAGTTTTAATCACAACAGATTAACCTTGTCTGCAGCGCCTGGTCGGTCCGGTCGATCTTGTTTTCGCGCGCATACTGCCCCCAAAACTCCAGTCCTTTCAGCTGATTCGGCAGTATGGCATTGGCACGGAGCTTTCTAAATTTCGATATCCAGGCGAAACATGTCGAACTACCTAGCGATCCAAAGAAACTGCCGCACGTCGTCTTGGATGGTTATGGGCACCCGACCCATCTAAAGTTGGACATTATCTGATCAGACAAGGAAATCAAATATATTATCTTTCAAGATGAGTGATGAATTAACAAAAAAAGCTGTTAGAAGACGTTGAAACTACAAATTACGAAAGTGAATTTCGTCCTAACCTCATTCTTGATGAGTAACCGGACTCTCTGACCTCTATTTATCGATATGACTACCAAAAAAATGGCTGTCCTTCTTTCCTACTTATCCTGCTTTTCCGAAAATAGCAGGAAGTATTCCCGTTTTTAGACAAAGGCTTTCTGCCAGGAATTTTTTTGCCTCGCGGAAAAAAAGATGGACCGTTTTAGAGAGCTTTTGTGTAGAACCCACAATACAGAATTTTTGTATTTTTGTAACTTTTATCTTTTATCGAACCTAAAAATTTATAAGAGAAAAATTTTACATTTGTTTTCCGGCCGGCCAGTTTCCGACTTGGCGCCGACCAAAAAGTGTCGATATTGTCGAGTGTAGTCGCGTCACGCGCGGTGTGCGAGCGATCAGTTCAATTCTTTCGACTTTACTACGAAATTAATTTTTACTTTTCTATAAAATATAGCAATTAATTATATAAAATAATTTGTGAAAATTTTGATACTCTGAGCGTTGAAGTATTCAAGCAAATTGGTAAGGTTCTAATGCCCAAGTTTCAGTTTATTTTCGGCCGATAAAGTTGAGTTGCAGCTAGTTTCATTTTCCATTTCAGGGAAATGGGTGACAACAACGTCAACTTGACGCTCGACGAGATCATCAAGGGCCAGAAGGCCCGAGGCCAGAAAAACGCTCGCCAGGCGCGCACCCAGCAGACGCCGAGGCGGGTACTAGTATACTTTGGGGGGGCCAAAAAATTTTTTTCGACAAAAATTTCTCATTTTGCACTATTTTGTTTAGCTTTTCATGCTGAATCGAATGCCAGTCGAATCCTGCTTTGGCTTTGGCTCAGGTTAGGCTTAGGCTTATCTGCGGCTTGTGCTACGGTATACTACTGAAAAACTATTGAGATTACTGGAAATATAAATAGTTAATTATTACTAGAAAACATGATATAAAACATCTGGAAACACTTTCATTTAATTCAGCACGAAAAACTGAACAAAATACTCGAAAATGAGACATTTTTGTCGAAAAAATTTTTTGGCCCCCCCAAAGTATACTAGTACCCCGAGGCGCAAGTTTGGCGTGGGTGTTAGGAAGGTAAGCTTTATTTAGTTTTCCAATCTCCATTTTTTTAGGGAGCTAACACTCCGATCCGCAAGATCGGCGCGAACCGCGGACGAATCATGAAGCGTAATTTTAACAACAGCCCGCGGTAACTTGCCTCTGATTTTCGCTAAAGCTCTCGATGGTTTAGTCAGGCGGTCCGCGCTGGCAACCAGAAGATCTCGCCCAGCACGCAGAAACTCGTCGAGGAATTGGCTCTGGTAACACTTCAATTACGGGTGTCGATTTTTTCAGAAAACGGTGAAGAAGGTTCTGTCGAGCGGCACGAACCCGCGCAATCAATTGACTAAGGTGAGACCGGGCGGATGTGACGACGCGTGATTGAGCTGTCGTGATGATTCCCTGTTTTGATGGACCATGTTCTTTTGAGCGTCTTTTCAACTAATGGCTGCGTTCCGACTCGGCATATTTCTAACTTTAGAAGATCCTCGCAAGGTCTGCACCGGCCCGAGCATTGCCTCCGGTTCGTTCATTTCCGGTTACAGGATTTGGAAAGAACCATATTGCTATTTATTTCATCGGTTTAGGGCCGTAACCGCTTGGCCACGCTGATCGCTCGCCACCGTCTCGCCACCGCCCCTCGCAAGGCCGTTCAAGTGGTCGAAGAGGTGCTGGACGACGACTATGAGGATATGCCATCCACTTCCCGCAACGTCGTCGTCAAGCGCATCGTAAGGCCTCTTTTCCCTGATAATTTTTCGCAAAATTAGGTGCGCCCGACTCAGGGAGGCCGGAAGCAAGTGATCATCAAGAGGATCGCCCAGAAGGTTTGTTTCCGAAGTAGGGAAAATTTTTCAATCCAGAAGGCGCCGATCCAGAACCGTGTCGTGATTCGCCGTGCCCCACAACAGCAGCGAAGCCGCATCCAATTCAACAATGTGAATGCGCGTCAGGTCAGAGTTCGCTCTCTCTTTTGGCAAAAACTCCTTTTTTAGCTTGTCCGTCAAGCCATGCGCGAGAACAACCGGCCCGTCCAGAAGCGTCAGCAACCACAACAAAAGCAGCAGGCGCCCGGTGGCCGTGCCATGAATGTGAAGAATAACAAAATGTTCTCGGCTCTGTTCGGCGGCGGCTCGCAGAATAATGTAAGCGATTGTTGCTTGAAGATTCTGATTCTTCGGATATTACCATCCTCATATTTAAATTTAGGCCGAGCGCCTCAACGCCAACGACAGCTTCCTGGACCGTCTCGGCGCCCCCGTTCAGCGCAAGGGCCGCGGCTTTAACGCGAAGTATAAGAATGAATACTGATAGACCCTCGGATCTCGCTGTCGCCCCCCTGAAAATCTCTCGTTTCGTGTCTCGCCCAAATCTATTTGTTACCTTTGACGTTTCATGTAAATAAATTATTTTGAGTTGGATGACGGAGAGTTGAAACTCGGATCTCACAAGTAAACGTAATCGCAGCGTATATCGTGATTTACATGCAAATAGTAACTTTACAAAGCAATGTGGGATGTCACGCGGAAATAATCTGAAAAGCGTTTCCTTTGCTCTAGTGATTTTGAGATTTCAGAATGTGCTCGGTTGGCGAGACGCAGCCAAATAGTGTAAGATTTAACTATAAGGCCAGCACATCAGTTTTGCTATAGAATCTGGATGAACACGAAGCCGGAGAATTGGTGGATGAAGCTGTCGTAGAGACGACGTTTCGCTGCGGAGCCCCGCAGGCAGATGGAGCAGCAGCCGTGAAGCACGAGGTTCCAACTTCGAAAATTGCGATTATTCTTTGTTTTTAGTTAACCTTGGAATCTACTGCGTCCAGTCAGAGCCCTGTTATCCTCGTTGATCGCAAGGTGGGCCTAGCGTTGTTTTTCTTTCTAAAGATTCATTATATTGTTTGTAGCACCCTTCAAAGATTTAGTTAGTTAGAAAATTCTGGAAGTGTTGTATTGATCTTCTGTTGGGTTTTATAGAGTTTGGTTGAATACGACTACGAAGACGGGGAATTGCTGGATGATGCTGTCGTAGCGACAACATTCAATGACAAAGAACGAGGCGAAGTGAAGAAGGAGGACTCGGTCCAGGCTGATGTTGCCGAGAAGGATCGCCAGGTTCTTTAGCAAACAGCGCATCAATTTTCTTATAGAATTTGGATGGACATGAAGAAGGCGAATTGGTGGATGACGTTGTCGTAACGACCACTTTCAACGACAAAGAAGGAGGTGAAGTGCCGCTCCAGGTTGAAGCTGGACAACAGGAGCACGAGGTTCTTTCTTTAGGAAAAAGGCACATCAATTTTCTTATAGAATCTGGACGAGCACGAGGACGGGGAATTGGTAGATGATGCTGTCGTAGCAACCACTTTCAGCGACAAAGAAGGAGGTGAACTGCCGGTCCAGGCTGAAGCTGCAGAGAAGGATCGCGAGGTTCTTTAGGAAAAAAAGCACATAAATTTTCTTATAGGATTTGGACGAACACGAAGACGGTGAACTGTTGGATGACGTTGTCGTAGCGACGACTTTTGACGGAAAAGAAGACGGAGAATTTATGGATTATGCTGTCGTAGCGAAAACTTTCAACGACAAAGAAGGAGGCGAAATGCCGGTTCAGGCTGAAGCTGCAGAGAAGGATCACGAGGTTCTTTAGGGGAAAATCTCATCAATTTTCTTATAGAATTCGGATGGACACGAAGACGGAGAACTGATGGATGATGTTGTCGTAGCGACGACTTTTAACGGCAAAGAAGACGGAGAATTGATGGATGATGCTGTCGTCGCCACGACTTTGGATGCCAAAGAAGATGGTGATGAACAGGATGAGGATGAAGCAGATGAAGAGGAGGAGCATGAGGTTCTAACTTTAAAAATCCGGTGAAACCCTTTTTCAGCTAGCCTTGGAATCCATGGTGTCCTGTCAGAACCCGACTATCGTCGTTGATCCGAAGCTCTGCCAGCAATGCCGAACGGTTTGTAGAAAAACAAAATCTTATCGATTTTTTCTAGAATGAATTCAAGTACAAGTGCCCGAAGTGCACGTTCAAGTCATGCTCGCTGGATTGCTCCAAGCTCCACAAGGCTGAGAAGGAGGTAAACTAGCTTTAGATCATCATCGGATTTTTTTTGCAGTGTGATGGTGTACGCAAGGCGTTTCCGGTGGTTAATCGTCTCGGTGATTACGATGACAGGACGTCTATCGACGATCAGGTGAGAAAATGTTCGTCCTTTGATGTTCTTTTTAGAATTTCCATCACCACATCAGAGAGTCCTTGGGAAGCACGCCGAAGGGATTTTCGAACAGAGAAGAGGTAGTTTAGAGTAGAGAACTGAAATAGGAAACGTTTTTAGGCTCCTAACCATCATACTCCAAGCATCCCGTTCCCACAAGTACTTCCGGATGGCCGTCGGATTACCCCCAGCAGTGGACAGGAGAAGTGAGACTTTTTTAGGTTTTCAAGCGAGAAGCCTTGATTCAGATATTTGCTCGACAACACTTGCCATCGGCGAATCTGGCTCAGCTTCCGCGACGAGGATCGTGGCGTCGAAAATTCGCGGCACGAGCAATTTTCGGACACGATTTTCTGGACGGTTGATTTGATTTTCCGGAAAATGGTTTGTAGATTTTTTTTCCTCACAAATAAGATTGTTTTTTAGCTGCAAAACGGCGAAATCTCCGAATACAAGTATCGCATTCACCAAGTTCCCGAAACAATCCGGGTGGTCACGGTAGTGTGTAGATGCAGAATCAAACCCTTTTTTTTCCTGTTCAGGTTTTGAGGCAATTCTTGAAGCCCCGCCCCTTCGGACCGCTCGTCTCAAAGAACGATTTGGACCTCGAGAAGGTATTTGATCATTTTTCCAAAAACAGAATTTCGAAAAATTTGCTTGTCTAAACCGCACCCGGGTCGGCCATTTCATATTAATAGCTGGACACAAATTTTCTGAAAGTATGTTTTTTGGGGAAAATGTTTTCGAAAATCTGTAGGCAAGTCGTTTAGCTTGCCCCGTTCATCAACGCCGGAGTTGATCATGTCAACGTTTTCATGCCCGTGCCTGTGGTGGGATACGAAAACAAGTAATATTTTCCGAAATGTGTGATTTTCTTTTTTAGGTATTACCCCGTAGAATCAGACGCGCCTGTACTGGAAAACACCCGCAACCGCTTCATCATCAATCACCCAGTGGTAGGTTGCCGCCAAACTCCTTAAATTTTTTGTTTTAGTGGGTGATCGTGCTCGATGACGAGTTCGTCGACCTCGAGCTGCCCACACCCGAGGATCTCGAGCGACTACAGTATGTGATCGCTTCGATACATTTTATGGAGTGTTTTTAGAGCCCGTAGCCAAATGGAGCGCACCGCCTACCAACCAGCACACCGTGGCCGTGGCGGCGGAATGAGAGGCCGAGGAAGAGGCCGTGGCGGACCGTCGGTACGTATAGAAAGTTTAAGAGCCGGTGCTGGACTGTTAGCGGGGGGTTGTTCCCAGTAGTTTTTGATTACTGGAAAGGTATAAAAAATATTTTTTTAATTTTGAAAATTTGAAACTGACCGTTTTGGTCATTTTCATACATTTTATCGTTTTTCTATCTAAAACCCCCATATCCCCTCCCCGCTAACAGTACAGAGCCAAAAGTAGTTCGGATATTTTTAGAATTTAAACACAACTAAAGCACTAGATAACAGTCCAGAACCTAAAAGTCTTTAAATTCCTTTTTTTCAGAATTATCGTGGCGGCGGCTATGGTCATCAATCAAGCCCGACAAAGTACGACCCAGCACAACCCTTCGTGCCTCGCCCAAGTGGAGATGTGGAACGCGAAAAGAGACAGAGCGATGGCTGGCAGCGTAATGGGATTGGGTTTTATACATAAGGTCGCCTTTTTTAGGCAACTTCCCGGCGAAGCGCTGTCGCAACGAACAAACGTATGACCGCTACGACCGAGGTGACCGGCGCGGTGGACGTCCAAATCGCGGCCGTGATCGTTTTATTCGGAAGTGGGTTTTTTCGGTTTTTCTTACTATTACTAATTTACTAATTTTTCTAAATATGGCCACCAACTTTTTTAAGAATCTGATTTTTCGATATAAACAGCGAACTAAATTGTTTTAACTATTTTCAACGTTAAAGAATACCTTTTGAGAAAAATTACCAAAAAATATACATTAATCGACCAAAAATGGCCGATTTTTACCACATTTTCGAAATTTTAAAGTTTTTGAAAAGGTTTTCCAGTGTAGTTAGTGTAGTTAACCTTTTCAAAAAAAACTATTGAAATACCTATTACTACGTTATTAAGTATTTCTGGGCTTATACCACAAATCCGTCCCCCGATAAGGCGAAAGAACAAAATTGTTACAGTCGTGAGGATCGAGCTCCATCGTTCGACCCGTTCAACCCGTTCGATGGACCGTGTGCCCTGCCACTCGATAGTTAGAAAAAGTACTCATTTCCCTTGTTATCATTTCTTGTTATGCTGCTACGCCAGCACGTTGTTGATTTTGCCCCCCTCCCCCCTCTTCATTTCCACGTTGTTACTTTGTTCATTGTTACACTCAAATTTATTGCACATTTTTATGTCATCGCCCATATTTCGGGCTCATTACATATAAAGAGAGAGGAAAAGTGGTTCGGAGGACTTTGGAATTGTATTTTAATGTGGACAGGAATGATGGGATAGTGAAGAAGCACCGCAAGAACACTCGTAACGAAAAAGTGACTAGGACTAGTGGTGGACCAGGTCCAATACATTATTTTGAACACGTGAGGCAAAGCCGCGCCTTCAGCCGGCCTCCACACTCTTCAACCGGAACTCCTGGGACGCCGAATAGCTCTCGCTGCTCGACGATATTGGCCGAGATTCGGAGGATTGTGATGTCGGAAGCTGCTGGCCACGCTCGGGCTCAATTTTTGAACGCGCGTCGGCTTCGTGGGAGACTGGAAATGAGCATGAAGTCTGATCCAAGAGGGAATAAGCTTCCTTCGTAGCTTCACCTACCCGAGCTCGACAAAATGTGGCCCAAGCTTGGCGAGATTTCTTGGGTGGGCCGGATTGGGACCGGGTTGACGCAAGTACACTGGAAATTATGAGCTTATTTTGGTCCGAGTTAGGCATATTTTCAAGTCTGGATTTTAAAAGTGTGCGAGAGAGAGGGAGAGAGAGTGAAGAGATAGTGTACGAGTGAGATAGAGAGAGAGAGAGAGAGAGAACGTGTGAGAGATCATAGCAAAAAAATAGCCTACCTCTTGATTATTTTTGGCGTATGGCGGTGGATTGTCGTAGAGGGGGCTAAAAATCAAAGTTAAAAGCCCAAAAATCCAATTCCCAACCTCTCAAACGTCTGCCGCGTTTGGCGCTGATCTTTCGGCTTGTAGACCGTGTACGACTTGTTGACCATGGTGTGGTTGGGGAACTGAATGTTGGTGATAAGATTTTACTTTTCAGGTTCTTGCTTAGATTTTGTAGATTTAACTCACGTTTTTCAGGTACTGCGGGTCCCAAATGTAGACGTAGTAGATGGACAGACAGACGGCCGGCAGCGAGACGAACACGATGTAGCCGAGCACCGTGATGAACCGGATCCATCTGCAAAGGTTTTCAAGTTGGAAAAGTTTGAAAATTGTTAGAAGCAAAATTTATTTAGATATAAAAAGCACCTCAATTTTTACAACTTTTTATAGATTTTCGGCAATCGGAAACCTCAACTTTTACAACTTTTTATAGATGTCGGCAATCGGAAACTATTAACTATCCTAAAAAAAGTGTTTTTTACTAGCGAGGCCAGGAATAAAGCAAGTTAGCCCCCCGCTAATAAAAGAGAACAGGATGTTTGGGCTTTAAAAGTGCAAAACATTACCTCTACTAGCATGCGCTCTCCTCTTCCTCAACAATCTCTGCTAGCCTGCTATGCTCAAACTAAAGTTTCGAGACGTACCCATCAATTTGGTTGTTCAGCATCTCGAAAAATAGGGCGCCAGTTGTTGATCAGTATCTAGCGATCGATTAGAAATGCAGGGTGTCGCCGCGAATTTGATGGCCTGTTTTTTGGGGCGGTGAGACTCGGGCGGGGGGACCCAGTTTCCGGCGGCCGGGTCACAAGGATTTGGGAGGAGGACCCAGGATTTGGACGAGCCGGGAGGAGGAGCAGGGGGACGACCAAGGGAAAAGCTTCTTCCAGAGATTGGGCCCCGCCGGCCGAACCGTGGTGCCCACTAACGAAATTCGAGCTTCACCCCTTTCTACCGAATCTAGAAGCCAGCCCCGGACGAGCGTTATCTTTTAAAGGGGAACCTAACAACACAGTTTTTTTAAATAATGCCTTTAGGTACTTTACTATTTAAAGGGGGGGGGAGGGAGGATATTTCCTAGAATTCCAGTTTTTTCGAAAAATATAGGTTTTTAAACCGATTAAATTTTCTCTAGAACAAATCATAAATTTTCGTTCAAAATAGCACATAAAATTTTAAGCAGTTTTTAACGGTTTCTAAATAGTTTTATCTGTTGAAATATATTTAAATTTGCTAAAGAATTTTCAAGGATTCCAATTTTGCTAATAAAAATAGAGAAATTTAGTTTGTTACTATTTTTAAGCGTAAAATCTTTACAAAACCTATTTAAATACAAAAATATAATTTTTCAATTGCTTTATAACGCTTACTTCTTGCTTTCGCGCTGCGTGAATTTGGCCCGTTTGTCGGAGGTGTAGACGGGCTGCCGGCTTCGTGAGCGGTTTCTGCCTAAATTACGGGATTACAGAAATACAAATTATTTCACGAATTTTCCGCACTTGCGAGAAGAGAGAGAGCGAGAGGGAGAGAGAGAGAGAGGGAGAGAGAGAGAGAGAGAGAGAGAGAGAGAGAGATAGAGAGTGAGTGATATCACTTACCTGAATAGTGAGAGTGCATCGAGCCGACGCCCGACGAGTGGTTCATCTGAAAATGTTCGGAATTCAATTTTGTCGCGATTTATTATTCCATAAAATTAAAAACTAAAATAAGTGATGGAAAATGGCAAAAAAACACATTATAAGTCTCCAATGTCTTCAGCAAAGCAAGATCGTAAGCTAGCCCCTTTAAAGAAGTAAAAAAGAATTTGCAGTTTTCCCACGGTTCAGAAAAACATAAAAAGTTACTAAAAATTAAAAAGCTAAAGCTATAAACTAAAAATCGTTGTAAAATAGAAAAATTAGAAACCAAAAGGTAGGCCAGTTATAGAATTTCAATTGCTTGAAAAATGCGCCAACTTTAGCTTCATTTTCTGGGCGTAATAACCGGCGCTAAAGCAGATGAGCCTCGAAATGGAGAAGCGCATTGAGGTGCTAAGCGATGGGTGCCCCTTTGAGGGGCATCTTACACGTGCTCACACCCTTCCCCCCCACTTCACCGGGCCCTATTGATCTTGCGAGCTTCGTTCTTTTCATGCTCCTCGCCCCAGCTTGCTCTCTTTCTCTCGCTCTTACACACGCTCTCTCTCTCTCGCATCTCGCATCTCGCTCCCGCTTTTGCTTTTATGAGATGAGCTGGAGATGGGCCCGTCTTGGACCTCGCAAAGTGGCCCTGAATCGCAAATCGGTTCAGCCTGGAAAGAAAAAGCGAAGAACTTGAACGTCAAAACGGATTTGTAGTGCTAACTGAAAGAAGCTAGCAGAGATTATTTGCGAAAGTAGAGAAAGAAAAACAAATGGATTTTTTGGTTTGTTTTGTTTCTAACTCAGACGAAGGAAGCTAACCGAGTTCTATGAGAAAATCATTAAAAAAGAAGAAAAACTAAAAAAAACAGCTACGATAAAAAGGAAAAAAATTTGGGGTTTTTGAGTCCTTTGGCACGGGCGTTCAGAGCGTGCGTGGGGGAGGGGGAGGGGCGTGGCCGAGTGGTCTAAGGCGCCGGTATGAGCCACAGTCTGAGGGTGCGGGTTCGATTCCCCACCCTCAAGAGAGCGCGTTAACCTTTTGCTTTTTACGCCAAAAGCCCGGAAAAGTCCCAATAGAAGATTGATGGCGCATAGTATGCGAAAAATTAATAAATTAAAAGCTTGCCGGAATCGCAACAACAAATTTTAGCCTCCCAGGATCAAAAAAGTGGCTGATTTAACACTGGCAATGCTTTCCCAAGCAAATTCAGTGAAAAAACTACAAAGAATGAGCCTAAATTCAAAGAAAAACGCTTCGCACAAAGGACGGAATTTGACACTTTTTGAGCTAAAAAGCTATAGAAGTCCTTATTTCTGCTGTAGATCGGTCTGAGACCTGTTCCATGACATAGCCCAGACTCTTCTCTACATTCCTAGAGCAGCGCTCCCGATTCACATGGCGTTTTCAAAAGTTATAGCAATTTGAAGTTCAAAATTTTTGACCATTTTTCGGCCCTTTCTACTCGGTTAATAAAGCGCCAGCGGGCGCGCCAACTTCAACAATGCGCTAGCGGGCGCGCCAATACGGAGAGTGGGAGCGCCAATGGCGCTTATCAGGAAGGGAAGCGCCACTAGCGCAGACGCGCGAAATTATACAAAAAAAGCGCGAAGTGGCGCAATTGCGAAGAAAAGGAAGCGCCCATTGGCGCATTTGAATTCTTGAACACCACCTTTCAACGGTTCAAAAATTTCGCTAAGTCCCTAGAATTCTGAAACAATTCGAATTATTGAATTTAGGTAGATTTTATTAAACACAATTTATGATCACGGTTGTTTTGTTAAAAGTAACGGTTGAAACGTTAGCGATCTGCTACTTATTGCAATTCCCAAGGACCCAGGTACAAAGTTTTTTTACAGCTTCGTAAGTTTGATTTTATGTGACCAATTCATTGCAGGTTTTGACCATCTATTCTATAAAGCTAAATTTTCAGGCGACAATGAAGTTGGAAACTGCGCGCGCCTACATGATTAAGTAAGAGTAAGTCTCCCTGAATAAGAAACATTTAGGTTAACTTGTATCAATTTCTAACCGTTTAGAATTAGAACAATGCGGGTAGCGGGCGACCAGATGAGTAAAAGGTACGTTAGCTAGCTTTTAGATCAAATACGTGCGCTGGTGCTATGGAAGCAAAAAAAAAATAGGTTTTTGCAAATATGCTTCTAAACAAGCTATTTAGGTGCGCAGATCGGCAACTTTTGGGCATACACGTTGGATGCACCTCTTCTCGTGTACTACATCGCAAAAGCGATGCTAATACACCCCTATTCATAATAAAAACTATTTTATTAAAACCCCAGTACGAACAGCTGAAAGAAATGGGCGCTTTATGAGCGCAATCCGACAAATGAGCGCGCCAACGGGCGCTTTTGCCAAAAGCGCTAAGGGCGCGCCTGCGCGTCCGCTAATAGCACCGAAGTTGGCGCGCCCGCTGGCGCTTTACTAACCGAGTATGGGGAGATCATGGATCGCGGAGCGTGCACAGTACACGCGCGGCCATTGGAGTGCCCTGGAGCCGCCCCTCCTCTCACAGGCGCTTTCCCTGTCCTCTGAATGCCCGTGTTGGGCTTTTTGAAAGTGGGAAACAGGAAAACGCAACGAATCTATGCTGGCTACCGAAAAAACAATAACAGCGCTCAAACTTGAATAAAAACTATTTACATATGCTGTAAGGCGCAAAAATTGCGGCTTCGGAATCACTCGCCCATTTTATGGTCAACTCCCAGGTTTATGGTATACCGGGTACTATGCCTATTCCACACCGCCAACAAGCAGGTCTCTTTACTTACCAGCCGATTACAGCCGCTTCGCGACTGTAATCGACTGGCCTTCGGGCTACACTTCATATTCTACACCACCACATCCCTTGCTACTTTCATCAATACATATGCTGATGGCTTCAGATACCCCCCATAGCCGAAATCCCATTAAAAAACTACCAAAATAACTTCCTGATGGCTTCAGATACCCCCATGGCTGAAATCCCCGTCAAAAACGACCTAAACACATTCCTGATGGCTTCAGATACCCCCCATAGCCGAAATCCCCTTCAAAAACTACCTAAATAACTTCCTTGGCTTCAGATACCCCCCCAAAGCCGAAATCCCCTTCAAAAACTACCTAAATAACTTCCTGATACTTTAAATGATTTAAATAACGAATTAACATAATTAAAAAGTAATAAAAAGTATTAAAGTAAGTTAAGAAAGCGATCTGGGCGCGGGAAGGGACCTGGGGAAGAGGGGCGAAGGGAAAGGGGGCGTGGCTTGCCGGGAGAGGGGCCCCCACTCGTTTTATTAAGGCGCCACTTTCAAAGTTAATTTTAATAATTTAAACTAAAACTTTTTCGTAATTTTTTTATTAGTTTGGGGGTTTCTGACCACGCTCTATCCAAATCCGAAGAGAGCTAAGCTCTAGCTCCTTTCCCCTTCGAGTTGAATTCGGCTTCACACACACACACACACACAGACGGACGTCTTTACTTTTTTATTATAGTTG